TGTCACAGGTCCTTAAAAAGGTCCTTAAAGATGTCAGGTCTGAAATGTTAGAATCAAAGTCATTTTAAACCTTTGTATTTTCTTCCTGTCGACCATGAACCTGTTCATCTCACCTTTTCAGTCAACTTCATTACCGCCACTTTTACACTTTATGTTGGATTTCTGTAGTGCAGTGAAGAACACAGATGCTATAAATTTCAATAAATCATTAATTACATTTGTAAAAAGTGTAGTAAGGAAGCATCTGTGTTATTTTCAGGTAATTATGTAAAAGTAAACCAGATTTCTGGTCTAAAAACGTTAATTCAGTGCTTCTGTTTTAGTTTGAACTCGGAGTCAAACATCTGAATGTGACTGTGTTCTCTGAGTCATGTCCGCTGGTGTGAAGCTGCAGCTCTGAGATCAGCTGCAGCGTCCGCTCACATCTCTAAATCTGCAGGAGTAACTCACACAGGAAGTGATCAACAGTCGTAACCTAATAAATATAGAAACAACAGGAAGTTGTGTGAACAGGAAACAAACCCTCAGGCCCCTGAGCCTGTGTCCATCCATGAGTCCACGTCTCATTAATTGATTCATTATGTTACAGTTAATTATTGATAATTATAAACAAGGATTTAGAGTAAGATTCATGACTGTGTTTTTCTCCTGCAGCCATCTTCCAGATCATCCAGAGCATCAGGCAGGGCATGTGATGACCTTTGAACCCGGTGCTGAGGCCTGTCACATGGAGGGGGGGACAACGCAACCATACACACACACACACACACACACACACACGCACAGACACACTCTTGTTCCTGTGGAGTTTAAATCTGAGCTCATTTTTCTTCCCACTGTAAACCAACCTGTCTCTCTCTCTCTCTCTCCCTCTCTGCAGTAAACCCTTTGTTTTTGTTTATTTTTTACTTTCTTCACTGCTGATGAAGCTGATCAGATATTGGTTATTGATTGCTGTTGAAGTCTTAAACCATCTTCCTCAGTCTGCTGCCGTCGTCCAGCTGATTTTGATTCTCTGCTGTGAAATGTTGGTCTCTGCTGGTTTTTATTTTCCTCTGAGTTAAAGGAACAAACGTCTGTTTTTATCTCATAAGCTACGAATCCTGTGAACGCTGCTCGTTTCAGATTCAGCTGCTGCCTGATTTACCTCAGTGGCAGTTTATTTGGGACAAGCTTCAGTTTAATGTCTATTTCCACAGCTCTAATTCAGCAGATGTGAAAGTCAACACTTCCTCCAGAATTTGCACATCTGCCTGCCGTTAATAGGTGGGCTTTTACTGTGAAAGAACACCAAGAAGTGTTGAGTTTTGTTGACGTAACTTAACACGGATCAGGGGCACGACAAAGGAGAAATAACTGGAGTTAATGGTGACGAGTCTGTGCTGTGGACAGAAACATTACGCTGCATTGACCATGTGAGCTGCTGCAGCCACAGCTTTTATTTTGTAGGAGGATGAGCGGTGATCTGTATGACACACTCGGATGCTGGAGCATCAGATCTTTTACCTGCTGCTTCCTGCTGGCGTCTGGAACAATAACATTTACTGTTAAAACAGATTTAAACAGTTTTAAAAGTCTGATTGTGGTTTGAACTGTTTCCCCTGAACGCAGCATGAACACAAAGTGTCTGTGTGTGCGAGACTTCATCTCCACATTTAAAGCACAGCACCCTCCAGTGACACCCTGCGCGTTGGGATTTAACAATAGAAATGTGAATGAGTTTCCTCACAGACACAACATGTGGACGTGTGTGATTTAAAGGAGCTGCACTTCATATCCAGCTGTTTGGTCACAAACAGACAGAGCAGAGAAGAGAAACATGAAGAAGACTCACCTTCAAATCTGCTTCATTCAGAATGAAATAAAACAAAATGAATTGAGCTTTAAAGTGAGTTTCTGCGGGTTTTCGTGGTGTTTCAAAATAAGACGTCTGCAAGGATTAAAAAAAGAAAATATGACGGTTTAAACAGAAATAAAACAAAGCTTGAAAATGTTTGAAAAATAAACAGGAAGTGAAATTTACAGCAGTGATGGACAGAACAGGATTTGTTTTTAATGAGCTAAAACCAGCTGTTTAGTCTTTTTTTTTTAGTCAAACGTTTTAATTTGTAAAAACATCCCAGAATACTTTGTCTCCTCCAGTTTCCTGTTTGTCAGGAAGATAAAAAACCCTCTGAAGCAGAATCCAGTTGTTTTGATGTAAATAATTGAAACCAGATTCTCAGTAATCAGACTGAGCAGAGGAGAGGAGACGCTCCGTCATCAGAAGCAGCTCCACCAACATTTCCACAGAGGGGACGACACCTGCAGGTTTTTAAAGCAGCTGGTGGTTTAGTTTTTGAAAGGTGAAGCAGTCAGAGAGGCTCACAGCTCAGCGAGCCTCCTGCTGGACGACATGCTCCGCTTTTATACAAAATAAACCACATATTTTTCTCTAAACGCCTCTGGTCTCTGTGTCCTTCATTGGTCTCTGAGTTTCTTTATTTGTGATGATCATTTTTTTAGTTGCCACATCTGTAAATTATCAGCACATTTTTATATGTTTTAATACAAAACGTGAAGGAAAAAAATGAAATTTATCACATGCAGAACCAGAATCAGTCAGTCTACACTGTGAAAGTAAAAGAAACCTGAAACCCAGAGAATAAAGCCCCTAAAAAGTCATAATATTATATAAGTCATAATGTAATGAGAATGAAGTTGTAATTTTAGGGTTAGTTTCACCTGTTTGATTGGTTGATGTAATATTGCTAAAAGATGTTTCGCTGTCAAAATTTTACATTTTTTAATTCTTGTAATATTAAGACTTTTTTGTACAACTTTGTGGTTGTTGTTGATTGGACCCCTCGGGCCCCAGTTCAGCTCCATGGGCCCGGGGCCCTGAACACATAAACTATTTATTATGATCTATATTTGATACATCCCTTTTTCTTTTTACTTTATTTATTTAAATTGTAAAATGAACAATCAGACATATCAGTTTTTAAATAAAAGAAACATAAAATTTCAACAACAACAAAAAATAATAATTAAAAAAAACAGCAAATACATGAATTTAAAAAGGACAAATATATAGTTTAAGTGGCAGACTTCTTGAGAAACATTTCATAAAATATATTAAATGCTGACATGGACTTTTTGTTTGTCACTAATTTGAGTGACTCAAAGTCACGTTCAATATTAATTAGAAACAACTTAAATGAGGAAATTGATTTATGAAATGTTACTTCCCCAGTAAAATTTAGAGGTTAATGATATTGCGTAAATTGTTATCCTTACATTCAAAATAAGTGAAAATATTTTTCTGTTTAATTTTAATAACACATTGTTTTGCAGAATATGTAACTTTCAGTCTTTCCATAATGTCACACAATATTAACAACTACAATAAATGAAGAGATAACATTTATCTCTATCTATCTATCTATCTATCTATCTATCTATCTATCTATCTATCTATCTATCTATCTATCTATCTAAATGTTATGTAATATTTTCAGATGTATTTCTTTAACTTTGTGATGCAAAATCTAAAGGGAACAAGCCATGCTTTGCCAGGTGATAACATCCCCTCCTCCCCCGTAACTACGCAGTGACGTCAGAGCTAGAGAAGATGGCGGATGTGCTGAAGGCGGAAGGTAAAGGGGCTTTAACAGACTGTTTGAACACCTCCTGTCCTCCCCTGTCTGCTGCTGTTTGGACCAGGTTACTGTGCAGTGTATCTTCAGGGATCATTACCCGCTGACTGGCCCTGGTTGGCACGTTTAAACCCGGAGGTACAGCCTCGCAGCTCGGCTCTCAGAGCTGTTTAATCGCTGCTGATTCGGACCTAGCCTCGGATGCTAACGCTAGCCGGCTAGCCGAGCAGCTAAACAAGCAAACATTCGTGTTATTTATTGATTAGTGAATTAACGTTACTCATTCTGGTGGTTTAGTCTAGTATGGTGGCAGCGTGATGAGAGTTATTGTCAGGTTGAAAGCTGCTGTCGCATCGCTGAATGCTGTAATGATGTGGAGCTGAGAAGCGTCCGAACGTTAGCATTATCGGCCCAGGAGGGGCTGAACTGCTGCAGGCGGGAGAGACGCTCCGGGAGGCGGCCACAGCAGCCAGACGAGTCCGCGGTCTGAGCTAGGCCTCCGGGAAATGCGAGCGTGTTTATGTGTGGGTGGATGGAAACTGAGAGACAGATTTATGATCATCTCCACCGGCGCTGCAACGATCAGTCCATTAATCGATTAGTTGATCTAAAGACAATTAATCAGTTAATATTGTGAGAATCGATTGATAGTTTCAGCCGTTTTTAACAAATATCCTCCAGCTCAGCCTCTCACATGAGGAGTCTCTAGTTTCCATCGTCATACTTGACATTAATGTGAATATGTTGTTTGACTGCTGATCAAAACATGACATTTAAAGACCTCAGAACACCTTAAAAACATTGTAGAGACTTAACGATGAATATATTCATTGATTAAATAAAATTGATAAGCAGTAGTTGCTGCTCTAGTCAACACTGTGTGTGTTTAATGTGAGTCAGGTGTGTGATCAGTTGTGTGGCTGCATGTAAAAACCGAGAGTGTTATGTAACTACACACGCAGACTAACATTCACTGTCATTTATGAACACACCGCTTCACCATTTAAAGTGGGTGCAAATTCAGCTGTTGCTAGGCAACAGGGAGCTATTGAAGGTGCGTGTGTGATTCTGTTGTCCTGTTGCACACCTTGTTGTTTCCCATTGATATTGACTGATAGTGTTTCTCTGTGTGTATCTGTGTGTTTGTGTGCAGCAGGGCAGTGTGGGCGGTCGTGCGTTGTGTGAGAGTCATCCTGCATGGACTCGTCGCCATGAGCAACAAGGAGATGGTTTCCACGGAGACAGGTCAGTCCCATCCACTTGTAAGGTGCTCACACCTGCGTACAGACAGCTCCAGCTCTGTTGCTATGGTAACCGCCTGGTGTTGATGACGTCACAGACACTCCAGGGTCCTGCTCTCAGTATGAGGAGTTACCCAGAGCGCAAGGAGTCTTGATTTCCTGGTTCTTGAAGCTGATTTTAAATGTACCTGAAGCCAGTGTGTTCACATGGACCTGAGGCTGATCCTGTTTCATCGTGTTCAGGATCTGATGTTTACACAGCGCACACGAATCTGTTCTGTAGCTCCCTGTGTCTGTGATCAATGCCACTGTAATCCTTGTTACTCTGTTCAGATCAATCTGACATCCCTGTAACTGAAGCCACGTTCTCCTTTAGTCGCCTGAACGCCACACACAGCACAGTGTGTACAAACTGTGTATATGTACTAATGTTTCTGTATTCACCTGAACTGTTCCCTGGTGGGAAACCACCATCTTTCTTTCTTTCTTTCTTTCTTTCTTTCTTTCTTTCTTTCTTTCTTTCTTTCTTTCTTTCTTTCTGTCCTTCTTTTCTTTGTATGATATGAATATATGAATGCTAATATTTGACATGTTGTTCTCTCATGAACACACAGTTGCTGACATTGATATGTCCTGACAGATGTGTGTTACAGGTCATTGTGCGTGTGTTGTTGTGTGGAGACATACGTCCCTGTGTGGACAGAGTCTTGATGAAGTCCAGCTGTGTGTCGTCTCCTCACTGTGGACATGACGTCTGTCTCCACAGAGAATAAAGGACAGAGGAAGGTGTTTCTTCCCAACAAGCTGTTGGAGTGTCTCCCTCGCTCGTCCGGTCTGCCTAACGAGCGGCTGAGGTGGAACACTAACGAGGTGAGTGTTTTTCCTGAAACATGACATCAGCAGACACCTCCAAAATAAAAGTTACTGGGCAGAGGTATTGTGTATATTATATGGCCAGAAGTATGTGGACAGCTTTTTGTGTCTACAACGATTCGTCAATCAAAAGAGAATTAATCACCAATTAATAATTTATTAATCAACATTTTTAGATTTGATTCCTCTGCATGATCAAGAGAGGATTTTCTGCTTTTCCATGATAATGAGTTTAATAACTGAATAAGACGTGTGAAAATGTGTCTTTACAATTAATCCATTAACAGAGAAAATAATCAGCAGATCGATTGATAATTTAAATCCTTGTTAGTTTCAGCTTCAGTGAATGCTACGGTGGCCCTGAAGGTCAAAACACCGCAGCTGAAGAAAACACAAACAACCTCAGAAAGTTCTTCATCAGCAAACAAACTCACCTTTTGCTCATTTTCCAACACTGCCAATGGTTAGCCGACATGTCGTCTACATGGTTTCAAAAGTCAGGAAGCATTGAACAAGTGCAGCTGGGCCAGGTCCGTCACCTTTTTGTGTCCCCTGGAAACACTTGATATTTTGATATCACAATGATATTTTTAGTGCGGGGTCTCCCAGCCTGGAAATCAGGGCGCCCAAATAAATGAGTCACAAGATCGTTAAGTCAATAAGAAATTATGAAAAGCAGTTTTTTTTCTGCTTCAACTTAATTGGAAATAGTTGATTATTGTTTATTTTTAAAAGTTTTTGTCTGACTCAAGTGAAAAATCACTGCTCACCATGTCGGTCACCATCAGACGCTTTATTTTGAAGAGAAAGACTCACTTGAGTCTAAGACACTAACCTCAGACCCTCTGTCTCTCTCTCCCTGTCTCTCTCTCTCTGTCTCTCTCTCTCTCTCCCTGTCTCTCTCTCTCTGTGTCTCTCTGTCTCTCTCTCTCTCTCTCTCCCTGTCTCTCTCTCTGTGTCTCTCTCTGTCTCTCCCTCTCTGTGTCTCTCTGTCTCTCCCTCTCTCTCTCTCCCTGTCTCTCTCTCTCTGTGTCTCTCTCTCTCTCTCCCTGTCTCTCTCTCTCTCTCTCTCTCTCTGTCTCTGTCTCTCCCTCTCTGTGTCTCTCTGTCTCTCCCTCTCTCTCTCTCTCTCTCTCTCTCTCTGTCTCTCCCTCTCCGTGTCTCTCTGTCTCTGTCTCTCTCTCTGTCTCTCTCTCTGTCTCTCTCTCTGTCTCTCCCTCTCTGTGTCTCTCTGTCTCTGTCTCTCTCTCTGTCTCTCCCTCTGTCTTTGTCTCTATCTCTCTGTGTCTCTGCAGGAGATCGCTTCTTACCTGATATCATTTGACAGACATGATGAGTGGCTCTCCTGCACGCTGAAAACCAGGTACACACACTGCATCGCTCCAGAGCCTGTCAGACAGAGCTGAGGGCGTCACAACCCTCCGACACCAGTCACCAAACAGTGAGGGAATCAGATCAGCTGTTGTTGTTGTTGTTTACTGACTCTGTTTGTGTCTTCAGGCCAAAGAATGGCAGCATCATCCTGTACAACAGAAAGAAGGTGAAGTACAGGAAGGATGGATACTGCTGGAAGAAAAGGAAGGATGGAAAAACGACGAGAGAGGACCACATGAAGCTGAAGGTCCAGGGCATGGAGGTGATGAGTGCAGCACACTGACCTGCAGTCAGCAGCTCCCCCTGCAGGACACTCCTCACATCACATGTCTAATAACAGCTGCAGTTAGTGTTGCAGCCTGAGAGCAACACCTGCAGACACTACTCAGGGCTGAGAGCAGCTGCTGCCACCTGTGTGATGACTGTACCAGGTTCCTCTTCACAATAAGACTGCCCTAATAAAGATTTATAATTGGTTTATAATCAGGTTATTAACACTTTATAAATCAGTTCTCATACATTGATGAAGTTAATGCTTAATACTCATTAATCTGACTAATGAGTTACTACCATTTATAACTGGTAGCAGGAGCCTGTGAGTAACTCATTAATAAATGATGCTGTGTTTTACAGTTCACAGTTTGATCTGTACGGAACAGGACGGGAATTTTATTTATTTATTTCTTCCTGTTTCTGAATTAACAACATATTATTGGTTCATTCAGAAAAACTGGATTTTTTCATTTAAAAAAATAATTTGAATTAATGAACATAAATAAAGGCAATATTATTATAATCATCTCGTTGATTCAGAAAAACAGCAGTAATCTTATTTAGTTTTTCTGAATTAATGAACATAATTATCTCTTTAATTCACAAACACTGGATGTTTTTCCATAGATCTGCCAGAGGAAACTTTCTGACCATTAAGATGCTGATGTGGTCAATTAATAATTAATGAAGTGGTAACTGAACAAACCTGATGAAGCTGCATGATGGAGAAACAAAGAGACATGTGGGCTCATTATTTGGCAGGAAATAGGTCACTGTTTTCCTTTTGTCTAATGTGTTATAACGGCTTATAAATAATTAATGAAGTATGAACAAGCTGATTAATAAACTCGTTATAACATTCATAAATCCTTTGTAAGGGGAGTCTTATTGTGAAGGGGAACCCTGTATGTTTTGAATGCTCAGTAAAGAGTTGAACAACATGGAGACGAGCAGCCGCTGATTCACAGGCTCCACCCACCTGACTGACCTGTGCTCCTGCTGTGTGACTGATGCTAATCATGCTAACGCTATCTGCTGTTTCAGTGCCTGTACGGCTGCTACGTCCATTCCTCCATTGTGCCAACATTCCACAGACGATGCTACTGGCTGCTGCAGGTACACGCACGCACGCACACACACACACACACACACACACACACACACACACACACACACTTAAAAGGTTTCCTTAGTTGGGGCATTTACAGGAGTGAGAGAGAGGAAACACCTGGACTAAACCTGACCACAAACATCATGCGGCATGAAAGCGCCGAGCAGCCATTAAACTGGGGGAGGGGTCCTACATGAACAGCCTGGGACTGAGGTCCTCGTCGTTCCCACACGCGGCGTGGAGCTGCTCCATTACGGCCAAAGTCACAATTTCTCTTTGACTTTGGAAAAAGACACAAAATAAAAAAACAAATTTCAAAATAAAAAGCGTGGTGTGTTTGTAGTTATTCCCCTTAAACAGGACATAAGTTAAAGACCCCCCCCCCCACACACACACACACACACACACACACACACCCCCCCACCAACACCACCACCACCTGAAGCTGAATCTCTAAAGGACAGGTCAGATCATGCTCTGTCTGAATTTAAGACGACGTCCAGATCGATCAGGTGGTTCATGGTCAGTGCCTTTTTTTTTATTTAACTGTGTGTGTGTGTGTGTGTGTGTGTGTGTGTCAGAACCCAGACATTGTGCTGGTCCACTACCTGAACGTGCCATCCCTGGAGGATTCTGGGAAATGCAGTCCGCTGCTCTGTGCAGTGGCCGACCGCCACGACAGCGTGAGGTGGAGCCGAGACGACCTGCTGAACCAGCTGAAGCCTATGTGTATGAAACTGTGTGTGTGTGTTAACTTCTGTGTGTGTATGTGTGTGTGTTAACCTCTGTGTGTGTATGTGTGTGTGTTAACTTCTGTGTGTGTGTGTGTGTGTGTGTTAACCGCTGTGTGTGTGTATGTGTGTTAACCGCTGTGTGTGTGTATGTGTGTTAACCGCTGTGTGTGTGTATGTGTGTTAACCGCTGTGTGTGTGTATGTGTGTTAACCGCTGTGTGTGTGTATGTGTGTTAACCGCTGTGTGTGTGTATGTGTGTTAACCGCTGTGTGTGTGTATGTGTGTTAACCGCTGTGTGTGTGTATGTGTGTTAACCGCTGTGTGTGTGTATGTGTGTTAACCGCTGTGTGTGTGTATGTGTGTTAACCGCTGTGTGTGTGTATGTGTGTTAACCGCTGTGTGTGTGTATGTGTGTTAACCGCTGTGTGTGTGTATGTGTGTTAACCGCTGTGTGTGTGTATGTGTGTTAACCGCTGTGTGTGTGTATGTGTGTTAACCGCTGTGTGTGTGTATGTGTGTTAACCGCTGTGTGTGTGTATGTGTGTTAACCGCTGTGTGTGTGTATGTGTGTTAACCGCTGTGTGTGTGTGTGTGTGTGAGTGTGTTAACCTCTGTGTGTGTGTGTGTGTGTGAGAGTGTGTATTAACCTGTGTGTGTGTGTGTTAACCTGTGTGTTAACCTGTGTGTGTGTGTGTGTGTGTGTGTGTGTGTGTGTGTGTGTGTGTGTGTGTGTGTGTGTGCCTTCCTCTGTGTGTG